CGAAATGTCTATTTTGACAAGACAGCCTCATCAGTCAGCCGTCTCGAGGGGGAGGACTGGGAATTCATCGAAACGACGCCTGATTCGACACCGGATGGACTTACCAGCACCCCATCTGTCAATACACAAGCTTCTACATCCGCACCAACTCCTCTCGAGACACCTGCAACCACTATCCCTGCTCCCACAGACCCCACGGACTCAAACACGTCAAATTCTAGCGACCACGAGACGCCCTCGGAGCCCGAAACTCGGTCGAAACGCACTCGGAAGCCTACACAACGTCTCCATGACATCCTCGAGGGACGCGCCGTCTCGTCCAATCGTCCTGGGGCACCAAAGGTTACACCCGGGGTGCAGCTCCCTTCGGAGATCCTCTACGCTCTTTATAGCGAGGCTGGTTTTGAGGGGGAGAACGAGGACGGGTGGGTGATGGTGGCAGACTTCATTGATGAGTATGCAATGGCGGCAGAAATCAGTGAGAAAGAGGCTTTAGAGCCCCGTTCTCTCGCCGAGGCAAGGACTCGACCTGATTGGCCATTGTGGGAGAAGGCGATCCTGGAAGAACTCGCTGTTTTGAAAGCTGCGGGTACATGGGAACTTGTCGACGCACCTCCTGGAGCCAATATCGTTGGTTCAAAGTGGGTTTTTCGGGCAAAGAAGGATGCCGCTGGCAACGTGGTGCGCTACAAGGCTCGTCTCGTCGCGCAAGGTTTCTCCCAAGTCCCGGGGATCGATTACTTCGACACGTTTGCACCTGTCGCATGCCTTGCTTCTATTCGGGCCGTTCTCGCGATGGCGGCTGTCCATGACTACGAAATCCATCAAGTTGATGTCAAAGGTGCTTACCTAAATGGCATTCTCACCGCCGACGAGGTTATTTTTATGCGCCAACCCCCCGGATATAGGATTTCTGACAGTGCGGGAAAGGTGTGTCGTCTTCTCAAGACACTGTATGGACTGAAGCAGTCGGGGAGGTGATGGTATCAGAGGTTGGTGGAGATCATGGTGCTGCTCGGTTTTGAGCAGTGTGCGGTCGACCAGGCGGTTTTCTTTAAGCGCCGCGGCGAGGCGCTTGTGATCGTGCTTGTGCATGTCGACGACTGCACAATTGTGGCCACTGCACTGCCACTGATAGAAGCCTTTAAGGCCGAGGTCGCCAAGCACATTGAAATCACCGATTTGGGCGAACTCCACTGGATCCTCGGCATCGAGGTTCGGCGCGATCGCGAACGCCGTATTATCTTCCTTTCCTAACGCTCGTACATCAACTCGATCATTCGCCAGTATAACCTTCAAGACCTCAAGCCTCTTTCCATTCCCATGGACCCCAATGTTTGCCTTTCGAGCGCTCAGTCTCCCTCTACCACTGTCGAGATCGCGAAGATGGCAAATATCCCATACCACGAGGCCGTTGGTTCTCTCATGTACGCCTCGCTCGGTACACGCCCGGACATCACCTTCGCTGTCCAAACCGTCTCGCGATACGCCTCAAAGCCTGGTCCCGGGCACTGGGAGGCCGTCAAGCGGATTTTTCGCTACCTGAGTGGTACGAAGGAGTTGTGGTTGAGTTTTGGTGGGGACACGAAGGGGCTGGTTGGATTTGCGGATGCGGATGGGAGTATGGCAGAGGATCGTCACGCGATCTCGGGGTATGCTTTTTTGCTTCACGGCGGTGCTGTTTCGTGGAGTGCTAAGCGCCAGGAGATCATCTCACTGTCCACCACGGAATCTGAGTACGTCGCAGCGACGCAGGCCACGAAGGAGGCTCTCTGGCTCCGCTCCTTGGTCTCGGAGCTTTTCGCCATTGACCTCGACACGACCACTTTATTTTCGGACAACCAATCGGCCATCGCGCTCACAAAAGACCATCAGTATCACGCCCGCACTAAACACATCGACATTCGGTTTCATTTCATTCGCAGGATCATCGAAAAGGGGTCCATTCGACTCGTCTACTGTCCTACTGGCGAAATGGTTGCGGATACTCTCACCAAGGCCCTCCCTTCTGCAAAGGTGAAGCATTTCGCTTCGGAGCTCGGACTCGTGCTCGTTTGAGGGGGAGTGTTGGATTTGGAGAGGCAAACGCGCCCGAGCAGCGCACAGGTTTCACGTATGCAGCTCGTGTCTGTTGGATTTGGAGAGGCAAACGCGCCCGAGCAGCACACAGGTTTCACGTATGCAGCTCGTGTCAGCACGGCCCGTCTCATGCTTGGAGATAGGTATTTTGTCTTTATGTTAACTTTCATTTTACTTCCGTCTACTCTACTTCACATCTAGAGTACATATAAACATTCTACGTTATCTCGTTGCCGTTCTTATCATGCATCAGCTGCTCTTTTGTGTTTTATCTTCACATGGCTCTCCTGGGCAGTCGAGCCCATTTATACCGCGCCGTTTTCGTTAGCGCTCCCTCAGCCGTTTTTCCAAACACTGAGGTGAGCTTTCTAGTTTATGATCTACTATTCATATGCTTACATCCTGTACCTAGCTATTCTTAGGTACTGGTCAATGTTATCAGCCGTTTTTCCAAACGCTGAGCTATTCTTAGTTGGTTCACACCGAATCACGTCCTGCTGGTTGAAATGACGGAACGTAAATAAGAACAATTAGTTCGGGCGTACCGCGAGCTGTCTGGTGGGGACAAGCCAACCCCCTCTTGACCATGGAAGAGAGAAGGCACCAAGAGGGGTTGGCTATTGTTTGGCGACTCCACAAAGACCACACATTGGGTCATTCGGATGACGCAACTCCATGGCTGTGCCCATGTTCGTTTCCTCTCACCACGACCTTCTCCACATCCTCTCCCTCACAAGAACCGCCGTTTCGCACTTCACGCTCGTTTCACCCGCCGAATTCACAATAGCGGTCAATTTCTCTAAGGATAGGGTCTTGGATGGGCACACGGGCTCTGGTGTGTTCCCTTTCCGAATCCTTGTTGTGTCTGCTCACATCCCAACCCCAGCGTGTTTATAAACTCGGCCATTTCCTCAGGCTTTGCTTTGAAGTCTCGAGGTGCGTGTTATACCTCGTCATCGCCTCCAAGCTTTCCCGCCACGACGCATCGTCTTCCTTGTAGCGAATCGAACTCCATCCCCGAGCGCAACGAGCGCCCTCTAGGCCATGTCTATTCACTCGTCTCTGCCGATCCGGGCGGCCTGGGCTCATTCTCTGAATGCTGCACGGGTAGACGGTCCAACACGCTTTACGCATCGTGTTCCGGGCTGTTGAGACGTGTTAGAACCAGTAACACTGGTCTAAGAGGGCGCTCGTTTGTTCTTCGTTGGATCTGATCACTTTTTCTCTCTCTGTTTCGTGCCGTTTGACTCGAGGTGCTCTCTATGGTGTCTCCATCTGCTCGAGGTTGGCGTAGGATCTCTGGAGGAAGTTTCTCGATGGCGGTGCCTGGTAGATGTCGACCCTCACCCATCGCGACCGTCTTTTTGTCCTCTATTCGGTGTATGCGCCTTTTTCTTTAATCTCCGTGGGTCTTCTTCTTGCCTTCACAGCTTGACATGTTGGTCGCTCTACTCCCTGCGTAATATACGCTCATTCTCAATGATTCCGGACATGCAATATACGGATCGGTTACTCGTGCTTCGCTCCGCAGAAAGGACTCTTTGCGCATATATTCTCTTTTCTTCTTACTTTAATTGCTCTTTTCTATTCTTTCTGCCTATCCACACGTCCCTTGCCTGCTGACCGCCGGGTTCTCCGCACCCAACTGTCGCCTACCATTCGCCATTTCTGAGCAGCTACTTGAATGTTCGCTCCGATTACGACTGGACAATGTACATGCGGGAAAGTAGCTCGGGTGTCGGAGGACTACTCTCTGATGTCATTGCAGCAGGGATGTCTCCCTCTTTTCTTATTTTTCATTTCAGCCGGGGCGCAAAGAGATTGATTCCTCATTTTCTGCTCGACACTCAGGTCTTTTGTCGAAGCCAAGCTCGCCACTCCGCACCCCGTACGAGCTGTTGAATGTATGCGTGCCAAATGCTTCGTTTTTCCAAATTCTTCACGCTCTCTTTTTTTCATTTTCTTGGTGCGTCTAGGTTGTTCTTTGAGCCACTCGAGCATAGATGCTTCTGCGTTATGGCCTTTTCTCTGCTTTATGTCCGACATTTCACGTAAAAGCGTTTCTGCGCAATTTCAATCCCAGTCTGACTTTCTCGCTTTCCGGATCCCTCCATTCTTGTTGGCCCTCTTCACGAGCCTATTTCACGAACTTGGAATTCTCCTATGCCGCGATTCATTTACTCTTTACCTCGACGAGTAACTCGTGTGCCTGCATCGCATGCAAGTACTACCAACTCTAGAATCATTCTAGTACGTTAGTGGTCCGCCAACGTACTTAGAGTGATATAGTGGGCGTAGGAATTCCTTACCGTTTTCTGTCTTGCATTCCGATGCGCTTGAATCTCACCATCCTACAACCGCACCTTCGCTCTCGCATCTGCCTTTGCCTGATCCATTATAATCCGAGGACGTCATCGTTCGTCTTAGAGGGATCGCGAACGGTGTACATAAATCTGCAGCTCTGGGTGTTGGAGGAAGCTGGTTGGTGTTCATTGATGGACAGCCGACAGCGCATCCTTCGTGTTGTTGTTCAGTTTCCCTTCTCTTCTCTCTTCTTCTCTCCTTTCGGTGCCTTTCTCCTCTCATTTTCTTCTTTTCCTGCGGTCTCTTTTCCTGCGGGTCTTTTATCGTACGCAAGCATCCCTCGCGTATAAATCTAACAAGAATTTCCCTCCGTACCGCAGCTTGGGGATCTCTGTTCGCTGTCTATCGCTCGCATCAGCGGGACACCACCTCAGAGACGAGCAGAGCCTCTTTTCCTTGCGATGCGCGAACGATTGACCCAGTTCCATCAGATGCGGTGGTGGAACGCAGTCTTGGATTCGTGCCGTGTAGGCATGCCACGGTGGGTACTGTATCTCGCTTCGTTTTCGATCTTTGCGCCATTTGCTTAGAAACTTCGTTATATCATCGATTACGTTTTTCAATTATTGCAATCTTTAAGAATTTACGTTCGATGCGTACTAGATGTATGATTCAACAACCCACAACGCGGCAGGCGCGTCGAGGTCAGTTTTGACTGTCAACTTGGAGGAAATGATAGGCTGATCGGCGCTACACCAGCGCCTACTAATAGAAGGCTCTTCGAGATGCTGGAAACATGTACGTCCCACACAGTAAGAGAGCCACCATTATCAGGCGGGTGCGAAGATAGCCCTGGGTATGCCTCGCGGCGTACAGATGCCAGGTGGGAAGTACTGATCCAGCGCCCCTAGAGTCTCCTCGTGTGGCGTCAGTGGGGAGCGCTCCTCTGGAAATCGGGAACAAGAAGGGGAAGAATGGAACGATGGATGAGACGTTCGAGTTGAATGCAGTGAATCAGGAATGGGGAAGCCACCGAGATCGTAAAGCTTAAGGTGGGCGTAACGCGAGGGGGTGGGTTCAGAGAAGGAAGGCACAGGACGAGGAACAAGAGACCATAGACCAGATGTGCCGAACGAGCATGAAACTGCAAGAATGGGGTATGAACATAGGCAGCAACAGAACAATCAACGCACCTTGAAATTGGTTATAGATGAGACACTCTCTTTTCAGACCCTCCTGACCAGCCATCGCTTGAATTGAATGACCTCTATCTCTGAATCGGCAAGCCATGGTAGAAGGAACCGCAGGGACAGAGACTTGATAGGATGTGAGAGGCATATCGGCACTGAGCAAGCTGCAGCCCGCCTTCTCCAATCCATTCAGGATCGCATGTGGTGCGATTCATTCGTCCAATGGGGGATTCGGGAAGTTGGGAAGATGGCTCTGGAAAACCGGCGTCCCGAGCTCGAGGATCGATGACGGAACTCTTTGGCGATGGTGCTAGGAATCAACATCGGCGATGTCGGCGTTGGGTGAATTGATCGTCTCGACCATGTTGTCTTCACACCACGACAATCGCGCCCTCGAGCCACCTTTCCTCCACACAATATGGCCTGTAAGCACATATAATCCTCGCATCACAACTGACAGCCTCGCCATAGCTCTCTCCGGGGGTTCCTCAACACCTAGCATGAAGTGCTACCCACCACTTGCCCATGCCATTGATCAACCCGATTTGATGGGGGACTCGTCCTGAAGGCCTGATACTTTGCCCTCTGTTGATGGCCATGAACAGTGGTTGTCGGGGTATTTCACTTGCAGGTGCTAGAGGACTTTTCGATCTTCAGGGAGTGTCGTGCGTTGGAATCTTTTTTGGTCTCTTTGCGCACATCCCTCGTCCTCTCTCACCTTTATGCACTCTCACACTCTCGTCTTCCTCGATCCGGAAAGAATCTTGACTTTCAAACTGCCCACACCATCTGCGCACCTTCCCGCTCCACGCCCTGCGCAGATCACCTCCATTCGCGATGTCGATGTTGAATCCGATTCGAACCGAATACGCAGGGTGGTGCCAGTCTCCTATGTCCATGGCGTTGGAGAGGGAGGTGTTCCTTCTCCGGCGGCTCGTCTCAAAGTCATTTCTTCCATGACTATGGGCTATGTGCCGTTTTCTCCATGCCCTGTGTCAAGACATGCCCGAAGTGTGTTTTCCGTCATGGCCGCGCTAATGCAGAATCCGGAATCCCTCTGACACCCAAAGAACAGAACTCTCATTTCTCGCTCGTCGTTCGAGGGTGACGTCTCGGGTCCACCCTCCGCGATCGACAAGGAAATTCAGATAGGTATTCTCTGGGTGCCAGATGGTTCTAATTCACTCGATTGCGTGGCGCGCCATGCCGCAGACAGACCTCGGCGCTGCCATACCAGATATTTACGTCCAGTGCGCGGGACCACGTCGTCCCGCTATTGCACGTCTTCTTACTCTTAGACACCCTCCCTCTTGCTGATTCATGACCGCGAACACGGAAGCAGGCGAAAAAGACGAGCCACAGAGACCTATGCCTGGCTCGGATGCTACGTAAAGGCTCAACATACTCGTTGTTCCTCGCAAAGTATGCGATTGTCTTTGAGCCATAATGCTCTTTGTGGCTCTACTTGTTTTTCCCGTTTTCCTCATGGGATCCTTGAAATTTTGAGTCAACACTTTTGTTGCAATAGCGAAGCGAGAGGTGAACGTTCGAGAGATGGAGGCAGTTCCGGGTTGGGATAATCTACAGTGACAAGGCTGCGAATGGCACACCAACCCTCTTTATCTATATACCTCGAATCTCGATGCCATTTCGGTGAGAATGAGATTAGCACCAAGAGGCGGGGGATAGGCACGGTAGGGATAAGCATGAATCATCATCTTAATTATCTCGAATGATACCACGTCGACCTATTCAGCTTTCCTGCCGACATTCTACACCGTTCGCGAGCAGGATGAAGCGAGGATACGGAACAGAAAACACATATGCTCTCAACCTCAGGGATCGCAAGAGAGTCGGAACACTGATACAGAGAAGGCTCCATAGACGTGGAGGAGCAATATCACCTCCCAAAATTCATGCAAGCCGCCATTATTGGGCGGACACGAAACATAACGCCTGGACGCCACACATATGGCAAACCGGACGAAATGGGAAGTAGTTTCCAGACCATGTGCAGGAGCCTGCTCTCGTCGCGTTTGTTACAGGTAAATTTTGAGAAATTCAGGATAAGGTGGGAAGGATGAAGAACGGAAAGGGGCCATCGGTTCCACAAAAAAAAGGAAAAGAAAAGAAAAGAAAAGAAACCTGGGAATTGCGAAACAAACAGCTAGCTCTCCCAATGATCAGTAAGGGATGGGATACAAGTGACGGTTCAGCGATGGAAGATAAACATTACCGCTGGGATGTAATCCATCATCACCCCCAGCCATAATTAACGATCCGTCCATCGCTGAGTGAGATATGATACACTCAGTGACAACCCACGTGAGCCGATCGCGCAGGTCATGAGACGGGCGTAAATCGGTGGAGTGGGAATGGAGGGTGACCCACAGATGAGGGCGACGGCATGTCATCGGAGGGGAAAACAGAAGTAGAAAAGTGGAATACACGAGTGAGCGAGGGAAAGGGGAAACAAATATGATCAAATCTTGCGAATACCACAAGCCGCGAGGAACACACTACGAAACATGAACACCAGCCCACCTGGTCCTCCAGATCAAGTGCACGATTGTATATCATGCAGGAGGGCGGCATGCGGACGGAGTACGCACTAGCATGGGATCCTCGCGGTGGCATGGACAAGTGACAGAGATGAAGGAAAAAAAGATACGCATCAGTAAAGGCAAAGCTTCCCATTGAACCGAGGATAAGGCCCGGCCATACTCCCGCAGGTATGCTCGCTCTCCGGAGAACGCCCACTATTAGACGTCCGCCTTGTCTCCGAGATGAGTTACGATGATCTCTTCAGACATTTGCACACGATGGGGTATCGCGCAGGACGAGGTACGGCAGGCGTAGCATGGGAAATTTTCGGAGAGCGAATTCCTGCAGGTGGGAGGTGAGATAGGGAGGGAAGAGGATAACGGCGATCGAAGGAGATGATTGAACATATCGAAGCCGTGGTCAACCTCTCGAAGTGCCCTGAAGTTCTTGCTAAGGAGGTAAAAGGGAAACGGAGGATGGTTTACGACGCACCTGGGCTCTCGGCGCCATTCACGTCCACAAGCTCGCTGGCCTCCCCGGGATCCTATCCAGCGAGAGATTGGTAGATAGCTATCCATTGTTCTGGCGGAGCGAAAGAGAAATTGCAGAGCTCGCACGAGAGAGATCTCTCCGAGTCCACGAAGATCGAACCGTGAGCCGTGCGCTTCATTTGGTTCAGCAAGGTCTGGGGTCCGAAAGGAAATGAAGGTAAGGCATTAGCGTCGATGGTGCGGATGATCGATTATAGTTCACTCTAGGTACTAGTTGCGGCGATTTAATGCATATTTAAAGCACTGCAGTACGACGACGTACCTCGAAAACTAACACGGTCGTTCATCCCGGAAATCTCCTTTCCAACTCCTCTCGGTCCACCCTTCAAATCGAAATCGAACAAGCTCAGGTAAGGGAAAGCGTACGAGGGAAATGGGTTGGGGTTGTGCATAGAGGACAGCCGTGTACCAGAGTGGAGGAAGCAGAGGGACAACGATAGGGTGGTAACGGCAGGAAAGAACTCACGGGCGAGGAGAACCACGGGATGTTTGGCGCCACCATGAAAGTCAAGCAACGGTTCATTCGGTCCGGATAATTCCGACAGGATGACGCAATTCCATGGCCCGTGCGCACCTTCCTTGCCCTCTCACCATGCCTCTCTTCAGCATCCTCTCGCCCCAGAAGAACTTCCATCCTTCTAGTTCGCCGATATTACAAAGCTGCAAGCGTCTCACGAGAATGGGATTCTGAATAAGCGTCGGTTTCCGTTGGCGTGACTTAGGTGCGTTCGCTGTGCTAATCTTCCTTTCTTCTATTCACCTCCCATTCTCAGCATCGTCGCCCACTCTCCCACCTCCGTTGTATGTTTCTGTCGCTCTTTCTCACTGCGCCTTGATTCTCAGCTCTTACTAAATCCCGGCGCCCCTCGCTGCGCATTCGTTCTCCGAGCTACTCCGTGTGGGTTGGATAGCGATACGGCTGGCAGAAAGCAACTTCCCTCCACTCCCTATTCCTTTCTACTATCCTCACGATGCAGTCGCCCGAAATCCTCCTATGACACGGTCTTTTGCGGTACACCTCGACGAGTAGCTTGTGCCTGCATCGCACATGAGCCTTACCACCTTCAGACACGTTCAACGGTCTGTTGGGGTCCGCCGAGGTATCGCTGATCTTGAAATTGCCTGGCATAGGAGGTTTGGTTTGTCCTATTGACTGTCCAGCCGCACAGGGGACTCTTGCCCCCGCCTCTACTCTCTTTTTGCGACAGTTTCATTTAATTCATCCTCGTCTGCCCCCCCACGAAGCTCTCCTCCACGCCTCTGCCTGCCTCCCGCTTGTCTAATCTGCGCGTCATCCACTCGATGCGTGCACGTAATCTATGGAGACCACAATTTCAGTCTCAGGAGGATGTGAGCGGTTTCAAAATATTGAGACGTGTAGGTGATGGAAGATATATAATCCGGATTGGCGTGCACCACGGACCGCGTGCTTCTTGCGTCCGTTTTCGTTCCGCGTTGTCTTCAGCTACTCCTCTTCTTTTCGCTTGTAGGCAGTTTTCTCTCGTCGTCAAAGCACGCATGCTGGCGGGTGCCATAAGCCCCTACGCATTGCTTTGTGGAGCTATATGATCATTCGCACCGTCTCGCTCGCGCGAGGCGTTACCCTCGATACGAGCAAATTCTCTCCGTTTTGGCGGTGCCTACGCGGTTTCTTCGTCCCCCTCTACTCGTCGCAGTAGTGGGAACGTTTCTCAACGCATGCTGTAATGCGGAAATGCAAGTGAGGGGGACTAGTACAAGGCATCTCCGTGTTCTGCATGATGTGCTGCATGTGTGGGCCGGTCCGATAGGATCTGGATGCTGTATTGTGGCCCAAAATTTCCTTGAAACTGTTTTGAAATTTGAAGTCTCAAAGAGGAGTATATCTCGCCTACACCGAATCTTGGTAATGGGTTCCGGAGGACCCATTCGCCTGCCCACCGAACGTCTATACAGACTGTTCTATGCAGTGTTCCGATATTCTGAAAGCCCGCCGTCGGCGAATAACTCTTGCAAGATTCTAACGAGAGCAGTTCCACAAGGGCTCCGAGCGGGTAGGATGCGATGGAGCTGTCCTTTTACACGTTAAACTCGTTCTCACCTCGTAACTGGTAAAGTCTAGATGTCCCAGGAAAGGAATTAACGACATTTTATTCGCTATTCTGAAAGCACGCACTGTCTAACGGAGGCTGGACGTGCTCGCCGAACCAACGTAATCGAGCCAGAAGAGTACGGTCAGCCCTCCAGTCCCATTTCTACATATAAACCATTTGAGTTTCGACGAATTCCTGCACGTTCAACCCACCACTTCACTTCCCCGGCAGTGCGACTTCTATTCACTCTCATCATATCAGCCGCGTCCGTCATCAGCTTTGCGGCTGCTGCACTCACTGTCAGCCCCGGAGTAGTCAGCTCTGTACCTGCATTTGACATCCCAGTCGCCACCAACGTCAATGCAAGCCAGGCCCAGGAGCAGGAGGAAGCGTGCAAGGCGGCGGACCCCTCGAAGATTGTGCGTACCCTCACCTTCACCTTCCCGAGCGTGCACTAACACAATTTTCTGCTCTGTAGTACGCTGCCATCCGCTGTGAAAGTGGTCCGCCCGACACTGTAGGGTATACCCAATGTGTTCCGTTTCAGAATCAGAAGGGAGAGGACATCACAAGCGCTGTATACTGCCAGTCCGCGAATTGCAACTTCTTCTCGTGAGTAGGATTCTTTGGAGTTGAATGTGATTATCTGGCGGTCTGCTTATCGATTGATATAGGGATGCGGGCTGCAAATCTAAGCCAACCAATCTTACGCCGGCGCCCTTCACACCTGGGCCTCACTTCAGCGTTGTATCCTCCTGGCAGATAGTGGGATATCGCGCCTTCAACTGCACTTCGAACGTGGTTCCTAGACTACCTTGATTGTATCGACATGGGATAGATTTTTTTTTTCTTCGAGTTTGAGTTATTCGAAAATATAAACCTCACTTCTTTTACACCGAGCATAATATGCATATGGCACATAGCCCAGTGAGAGCCGCCGACAACAGACGGACATAAGATGCCCGTACACCTGAAGCACAAGACCAGTGGGAAAGAGCCTCCTCCCGCGGCGCTGGTGGTAGGCATCTCCAGGCATTCGTCGTGTGGAGGAATCTTCAGGGGCCGCTAGACAGCGGGCGAGGTTTTGGCAAGAGGGCAGGAAACATGGAACAATGAGAAGGAATGCACCAGCAAGCGGAAGAATGCACAAGAACTTAAAGTGAGAGTGAACGCCTTGTCATCTCGCCTCCTATCACGGCCGCTTTCCTCCTCTATCCTGCGTCAGTCAGAGCGATGCAGAAGATAGCCTCGTGATGGAATGTTGGGCGAGGGAATTGAGGAGAGGCCGATCCAATGCATGCAATAACGACCAGTGGAATGAGAAGGGATGAGTCGAAGAGATCGAAACAGGAACCAGCAGAGCACAGCGTAGCTCGACGAAGTTGGAAAGACTAAGTAGTCGGAGGGACGTGAATAACACTTTCATATAAAACTGTCCGAAAGAAGAGAAAAAAGAAATCAGACCCAATGAAGCGCGAGCGAGTGCCCACTTGGACCAGTGTTGCCAACGCGCCCCGAAAACGCGTTGGTGTGCCAGGCTGCCCTGCGCTACGGAAAGAAAAACCGAGACTTGCGAATAAAATAAAAATGAGCATGTATGAAGAATCCCCGAAAACGCATACATTCAACGGCTCGAACTCGGTGCGACACGGTGAGCTGGGGCTCAACAAGAATGTGTAGAAGGCCTCAGCGTCAGAGAGGAAGCGCAGGCCCAACCTCCTCGTGCCCCGGTCAAAAGAAGAAGAAAAAAAGGGAAAAAGAGAGAGGCATCCCTTACTCTAATGACATCGGCGAGCAGTCCTCTGACACCCAAACCATTGGGGGTTCCCTCACATTGACCATTCGTAATTCCAGAGGTGACATTCGAGTCGCCCTGCAAAGAAGGAACGAGTGGTAGGCGACGGTTAGGGTGCGGAGGAGAGTCCGACGGCCCGCAAAGGAGGGCATGAAAGGGATAGAACGGAACGAGAATAAATGGAATAGCCAAAAAGGAACGGAATATATGCGTCCGAAATTTGTTTCTGGGGCTGCAGGAACGAGTGAAGTGCTCCTTATACTGCACCGCCTCGTTCGAGCTGTGAATATGCCATCTCCGGTCGTCAGGAAAGCGCATATATTGCGCAGAGATTAGAAGATGAGAAGGAGAACGATATGACCCAGGAAAAAGGCCCACACCAGCGGAAATGGGGCATACAGCGAATCGAGGTCCAAAAGTGATCGCGATAGGCAAAGAAACGCGGTCAAATGTAGCAGGAGCTGCGCTTGAGAGCCTTTCTTCTCCTCCAAAGAAACTGCATGAGCCACGGGCGACCGGACACGCCAGCGGGTAGACGTGAAGAGTGTCCCGCATTGAACGCAACAAAATGAAGAGAAGAAGAAATGGAACAGGATCCTACGAGGAGCCAACGAGCGTCATCCTGGACCACTGACAACACGTCCCAACCACCCTCAACACTATGCGTAAAGTGTATTGGACCGTGCAACTGTGCTGCATTCGGAGAACAAGCACAGACCGCCCGGATCGGCGAAGACGAGTGGTAGATACGGCACAGATGGGCTCGTTGCGCTCGGGGATGGGGTTCGATTCGTAACACGGAAGACAATATGTCGTGGCGGAAAAGCTTGGAGGCGACGGCGAGGAATAACACGCACCTCGAGACTTCAAAGTAAAGCCTGAGGAACTGGCCGGCAAACATGCTGGGGTTGGGATGTATGTGAGCAGACACAACAAGGATTCAGAAAGCAAACGCACCTGAGCTCGTGTGCCCATCCAAGACCCTATCCTTGGAGAAATTGACCGCTATTGTGAGTTCGGCGGGTGAAACGAGCGTGAAGTGCGAAACGGCGGTTCTTGTGAGGGAGAGGACGTGGATCGAAGGTCGTGGTGAGAGGAAACGAACATGGGCACAGCCATGGGTTGCGTCATCCTTTCGGACCGACTGAACCGTTGTGTGGTCTTCGTGGGGTTGCCAAACAACCCGCAGGCACCAACGGTGCGTCTTGGATTGAAGTGGATTGGCTCATCCAAGACCTCCATCATACAGCTCACGGTACGCCGAAATCTCTTCTTCTCCTCTGCACTATGGCACTTCAACCAGAAGGACTCGATTCGGTTCGCTTTGCTTCAAAGGATTCAGGGGGAAGTCTGGGAGGAATTTTGATCGTGTTCAGAGGTGCGTCGTTGCTCAGTTATTCCCTTTCGTGCACTCAATAACATCCGCTAGCACTGCTATTCCTTCAATCGCGTCGTTCTCTCCCACCTGCTCGTCCTATCAGCATCACTTATCCAGCTGTGTGCCTTGGTGTTCCTCGTACTTTCGTCCCGCCCACCTTCCCTCACCCGACCTCTCACTGAGTGGCTTCCCCTCCGCAACCAGCACAGCCTTCCCTTCTCACTTGCTCCCGTACTATCGTTTCCGATCTTGCGGACAAGACGAACGGTGATCCGTGGTAATGTTGCCTGGCTGGTTTGTGGAGGAGAGCCCCCCTGACGTCGAGTGTATGGTGAAGTGCGTCCGTCATGCCTCGTCATATTCGTCGCCCAAGCTTTCTCTCCCTCTTTCTTTCTTCATGACTTAGGTTGTTCGTGGGTCAATCACTACCGTACGCCCGCGATCCCCCCCTTCTTCTCTCCTTCCCCCATTTCCCTTGACTCCTCCTCCTCCGCGACTCTCCTCCACACACAACATCAGAGTCTGCTTGCATTTGCTCTCGCGCAATGTCCAGTCACGCGAGGGCGTTTGTTGGGATCTTATCACAGATCTCAAAGGACCTTCATGCATGTTCCAGATGTTGGGTCGTGGAGGAAAGCGGACTCGATAGGAAGCAGGATGATGGCCATGGGGTGCGCTCATGCCTCACTTTCTTCTCGTCCTTTCTGCGAGCTTCTTCAATTTGCCGTCCCTGATTTCGTCATGCACGGGCGTCCCCCCGATCGCTTGAACTCCCTCCATCCTCGGCCCTTCGCTCTACGTCCGTCTCATAACCTGCACTGCTTGGCTTGCTCGTACATTTCATCATCTAGCACGTCATAACTAGCCCAGTGACGGACGGACGTTAATGGTTTGTACACTGGCGGAGGTCTGATTGATGGAGGGTAGTTCACGCCATGGTAGTTCCACACAGGTGCGTTGGCGAACGTCCTTTCATTCTCTCCTCGCTCACTCAAGACCTTCCGATGACTCATGTCAGTGCAGATGCCTCTGCTCCCGCTGACACTTCCCTTCAGCTTGGGTATTCACCATCCTGGCCTCCCAATCTGCCTTGAGCTTGCTCCTTTCATGCCCCGCTTCCTCTCCTCTTGTCCTGCTCGCTGCTTGCCCTGCCCTGACCTATTCTCTCCTTTCCTCTCCACCTTGGGCCCCGCTTTCTTTCTCTTTAACAATGTCGTACCATGTAAGAATGTCTCCAAGATCTGATACTGATACGAAGGTCCTGAAGACAAAGTGAATGGTGAACCTGGACCACGAGCGCACTTTGGTGGGAGGCAGTTTCGCGAGGTGTGTTCATGCCTCTTAATCATCCTTCCTACGTGTTATTTCTGCCTTCATCTCTTCCTCGTCATATAAATTTCTCAATCACAACCCACTCGTTCTTCGTCCCGAGGAGACTCCTCCATACCCAGACCTCTTTTACGCCCGTCTCATATTCCGCGCGGTCTCGATGGGTCGTACAACTTGCTACTACGAGACTCATGTCTCGCCCAACGATGGACGGGTGTATAAACCAGTTTGAGGTCGTGGTGTTGGAGGACCTCCCTCCCGCGACGCATCTTCCGAGTCACGCTTTTGCGCACGAACCGTCCTCTCCCTTTTTTTTCTAAAAAAAAACCTATTCTTTTCGTTTCATTTATTCATGTTGTCCACCTTTCTTCTTCCTGGCGTTCTTGTCCCTGACTCTTCAAAAACCATCAGTTACGGACCCATCGAGAGTAGGCTTCTCAACATCGTCTGAACGTCCACTCCCACACCGACCTGTATGCCACAAGGTGTCTTCGTGTCTGTCCAGTGGTGACGGCTCACATGAACTGTGCTTCGCTCCGAATTTCTGGTGTTCCAAGGATATCCATTTCCACAGCACCCTTTTTGGAGCTCGTAAAGTGTACGAGTAGACATTACTTCATTAGACTGCTTCCTTAAAGGACTTAACTATCACATTAACCGCACCTGCTCGTTTCGAAATCTGAACCGACGAACGCAAGTGAGGAGAGATGTCCTCCACTACCGCCAGGACGAAATCATATATACCATTCACACACCGCCGAGACGAAGGACCTGTGATTTATCTCGACGGCAATGTCTCGCTAACACGAGCGAGATCGTGTGAGGGGAATAATCTCAGCCCGAGGTGAGGAGGAGAAGCTCGATATGTGCATGGGCACAGGCGAGGAAGACACGGTGACGAGACTAAGAATCTGAACAGAATTCTGAACAAAAGTAAGAAAGATCAAATGCTAATACCACGCCGACGACAATGGCTACTGTCCTAGGTCACCCCTTTGCCACTGTGCCACCGTTCGCTGAGCCGTAGGGCGAATGTCGTCCTCGAGATCAGGCGAGCGGGAAGCCAAGCTGGGTTCCGAGGACAGGTTCACGGAGTTGTGCGGCGAGGTAACTGGGATGTGGAAGCCGCAGCATGAGCGTCGGATATGTGGAGTAGATATTCCCGGGATAGACAAGGAAAGAAGGAAAGATGGCATCCATGGATGCTTTCTTCTGAACACACCTATACAAATTTAAACGCCGCATACCGCTCGGTGTACCTCTCCGACGAGTGGTGACATCTTTGGAAGTACGCACAACAAAGGATGGAGTAGCGCA